AAAGCAGGAAGGCAAACGCAAAATATCTTCGCAATGTAATTTACGCGAGATCTATGAAGAGTTACAAGAATGAAAGCTCATAAATATAACAGAGTGCGTTAAAGTCGCGTTCAGGTTTTAACCGTTAGTCGCGCATAGGGCACTTGCGCATGCGCAATAAAAAGGCTCGACTAAAGGACGTAGACTACGAGAAGAAAGAAAAAAATGTCTCCCACGAGATTCCACAAGGTCTGCGTATCGCCGCTAGCACTGTTTTTCCATATTGACGAACAAAGAGGTCTGTGACGTAAAACAGTCAACGTCCAGCACGCTGCCGTCGAGATAAAACATTTTATTGCCAGTCGAAGAACTTCGGACAATTTTCACTCCCCATTATTCCAGATTCCTTTGTTCTCGCTATCACGTCAAATTAATCTACCCCGTCGATAATTTCTTCTTCTTATCTATACGTATGCCTTTCCGAACGCGCAAAACAAAGTCAAAAATTTCTATTTACTTGACAGTCTACCGTACTACGAAATGCAATTTAATCCAGGCACTGGGTTCTTCGACCGGATCCTTTAGTAGACAAGACTTTGTATACGAGCATTGGCTACAATCGTCGCCATATTGGCTGTAGTACTTTGCCAGCTCGTAATAACGCTGTGAGTAGGTGGACAGGAGATTCGCATCATTAATAATTATAATTTAGGCTAATATCCGCGTTAGTCGATACATTACTGAGGACATACAGTGAATATATGTCCCCTCTACGATTATACCAGTACGAGGTCGCAAAATACAGCGTAAGAAATGAGATACGTAGGAAAAAAAAGATTCCGTGACTCCTGGGGCGCGCGAATCGAGTCGACTGTAAAGCGACGCTCTGCATTACCGACCGAATCGCATAAACGTCGCCCTTCATTTATCATCCAACGGCCGTTCGAGAACTTGGCTCAATGCGCTGACAAGCTCTTTTTTTTCTGTCGCCATTTTACGTACACGATTCTCAAACCTTGTTTACGACGCGCTTTTCATTTCTGGGAAAGGAAATAATTTCTAATCAAGTTCGTACGGTCGATGGTATATCTATTCGAAGCATGCAGTTTATGCCGTAGCGAAGACGCACGTGTGGTTGAAATTGCGAAATTATCTTTTTCTACCCACAAGACACTGCGCACAGTTCGTGCCCGTTTATTAGCATACAATATCGTTCCACTTAAAGCAAGCCATCATTATGTAGCATCGCTCCATTGAAAAACGTTACAACATGGCGTCTGCCAACGGTCAATATAGGTTAGAGAACAAAACTCTTTTTTTTTGTCACAGAAGTAAAATAAACTTAAGTCAACTAGCGGTTTTGAGAAAAAAAAATCTACGCTAATAAATTTTTTTTTAACGACAAGAAACCAATGAAAACTGATCTTCGCGCGGCAGCGTCGTTTATTTTACGAGATACACGATATCCGTATAAGTGACAGTCCGACTGTCGATGACTTCCATAAGACTCACACCTGTTTCCCTCCTTACTTTTTCGTTTCGCATCAACAAGTCAACCGACCCCGTCTAGCATGGAGAAAAATAAAAAAATACACGTATATATAAATTAAATAATTTACAATAAACAATCCAGGTTAACGAGACCCCTTATCAGCAGCCAGAAAATAAAAATGAAAAACGGACCTACAAGTATAAAATATAATATACAACGAACTAAATGTCCGTCATTAACTACCTAAAAAGTATAAATAACCCTTAAAAAAAATAAGTGTGTAAAAAATTATTCAATTAAATTTACGCATCTTCCGGTCACGAATATCTCATTTCCGACGTTCGAATCGAGAAACCGGTTCCCGCCGGGAATTCGCCAATGTCTACGAGACATCTTATCCAGGTGGAGCTTCGATCGAACAAGCGACTCGCACAAGCTCGTGCCAATCGACTAGCGTAGCTGCAGCGACGGTTACGACACGATTCAAATCGAATTTTCTAACGATCTTTTCCATTAACATATTTTTCTACGCGATGCAACGTTAACCGTGTACTTATATAGATATACACAGACAGTCATTATCCATCTACCATACCGTTCACGTACTCGACTACCCACCTTCATTTTCTACGTAACCTGTACGCAGGTACGTAGGCATGCGCGTACGAGTCTCGTGAGTCGACCCGATCGTGGCCGGAAGCCAAGGTCGCCTGGGTGGCGTGCAAAGCTTCTTGACTCGCGTAGTCGACCGCTTGGGGGACTGAACGGAACGAACGAGCTAGCAGAGAAAGATATTCGATTATATCATATCAATTTTCTGAACCCGAACGACGAATCGAGAAGCTTCGAGACGTTTGCCATTTCGCTACTAAATGTTACGTAAGAATATTGAGTACAGGTTAGGTTAAATCACTACCCACAAAACCTCCAATAAAACCTTCGGAAATCTCGAGATCGACGGATAAGCGTCCATCTGCATACTAGGAGATGAAGATGGGAGAGTGAGAGAGAGCAATGCGAATATTTAAAGGCCGACACGGGGTCAGACAACTTTCAATAAAATCTAAAAAAAACATTTTTTACGTCACAAGGTCTAGCTAGTAATTTCGAAAAACTTCCCTATGGATTTTCAGCCGAGATTAATATTTATTAGGAACGACCATAAAGGTATTTTGGTATCGTTCGGTTTTTTTTTTTTTTTTCTCGTAGATACATCGTAACGCTAAAATGACGCGAGAGTCCGTGCACTAAATTCATTTTTTTAAGTAATGAAAAAAAAACTCCCTCTCAGCTTTTTCTTTCTTAACCTTTGACTAACCATGCGACCTTCTACTGTACCGTATGCCAGGTGCTGAGCGTTTCTCGTCTCGAGTGTTTGAGGAAGCTCGTTAAATACGAGCGCTAGTACGAGCATGAGTAAGAGGCACGAGAATGCGTGAGAGCAGGATACCTCAAACGTATTTGATCGCCAGCCCTCGGCATGCGTATTGGTTAGATCGGCTGTTTCCCGATTTGAAAACTGACGCCACGCGGTCTATTCGAGAGGCACTCGAGAGTCTCCTTCGCCGGAAGGCGTTTTCATGTTTTAGTGCCACGACTTCGTTTTTTAGTTCCTTCACCTTTTTTTTTTTCTCGTTCGAGCAACCGACAGTCGTACCCAAATTTTAACGGGCTAAACAAAATACATCAAATTTCTCGTTTAACGTAAAATATAAATTTTTAACATCAATAAAAAGTGCATCAGTATATATATCGGGGAAAAAAAAAAAAAAAAAAAAAAAAACACCAACACCAAGACAAGATTTCTCGCAACGGCAGCCAACTAGTCGTACGACAACACGTGATCCTTGTTTCTGCTTCGTCTCGCAGAAATCCGAACCTGCCCGCCACGCACTTTCTTCTTCGTTATTACGAAGTTTGGTTGGTTGGATTTTTTTTAAAACGTTTTTGAAAAAAAAATCTTTCTTTTACAGAGAAATCGGAAACGCACGTGTTCGACTTACCGATCGGACCCCCGTGGTACATTGTAATGCGAATCAGCTATACGTAATAACTGTGCTAAGTGGAGACATCGCTTTGTTCTGTGTATTTAGGAACACGTTTACGACAAAGCCCGCGAAATTCAAAATTGCTCGTTGCAAATTTTTTAACGCAGTCACGATCCTCGCTACGGACTGTTTTCTGGTCGTAGTACGGTAATCATGAAAACGCGGCTTTTCGTAGATGGCGCTTCGGTCGGTCTGCTACTGTTTTCAGACTCAGCGTTCTACGTACGTCTATTACTATATTGTGTACTTTGCAGCAGCGGCCTTACAAGGACGTTCGTACCGCCTAGACCCACTCGTGACATTTTGCTGTATTAACGACTTTATTACACTGTTATCTCAAATAACCAACGACTGGAGTCTCTTTCTCTCGTTTGAACATAACAGACCTATAGGTTAGAATTTAGGCTAGATTTTCTACGGGTCCAATCGAATCTAATGTTGCGACGGTCGATAACCTCTATTCAAACCTTGGCCAGATTGCTTTCGAATATCTATTGGCAGTTAATCGATCGACTCGAGAGAAACCAGGATCCCGTTCATCTAATTGTTGATCGATTCTCCTTGTGAGCTCATCGATATTCATTGCCAGTTTTCACCGAAGGCAATAGTATGCACATCCATGATTTTTTTTTCAAAATTAATTATTGCTGATTTTTATGAGGAAGAAAGAATTGGTACTCTGTGATTTGTGATGATGATACACTTTTTTTTTTTGACATCCCATGCGCAATTTTTGGTGCGTCTGTCTCTTGTAAAAATCGCCTAATGCGAAATATTACGCACTTATGACAAATGATAAGTGTCTGGCTATCGTCATCTCGTGGCCTCGGCCGAAATATTATCTTGACAGTAATTAAATGAAAATATTGCAGGTACTTCGCTCGTACAATAACGAGGGCATAGGCCTTTTTGATGATGATGGTATAAACGACAATGACAGTTGTACCGTCGTGCATGTGAAATATTGAAAAATTTTTTCAAAGTCCGATTCAAAATATTACGGCGTAATTAAATTTTAAAAATTGCAATTCCGGGCATACTAATTTATTACGATAATAAACAAAATCTCGTACGACACTGAATTAATTTTCATAGTCTGTTGAAACAAATTCCAATACTATTTTTTTAATACCAAAGAATTTTACGTCTTTCGAAGTGGCACCGCGGACATGAATGCGCATATATCAAAGGTAACTACAGAAACTATCGGCTGTATCGCCGCGACAAGTCGTTACATGTGAACGTATACGTAGCACCCTTAAACACGAATTTATTACAGCACTTGGATAATTTATCTCTGTGGCGTTCAGTGCCGAGTTAGTTCCTTCGCGATAGGGATAACAGGCTTAATTTTATTCCGTCAAAGTACAAGTATATGGGGATCCATGTAGAACAAAATAGTATGCCTTACCTAATTTAACTTCGAGTTAAACAACGACAAAATATCAAAAAGATAGTTAAAAAAAAAAAGAAAAACTCACCATTGGCAGTCGTAACGATTTTCTCCTTCCAATTTGATTCCGTCGTGGTAGATGGCGCCTCGAGCGTCGTGGGTCTGACGATCCGCGCGCCATCTGTAGTTCGGCCCGACGAATCATCCAATTGATCGTGTCCGTAATGAAAATTGGTTTTGCTGTCATTGTGCCGATATTTCACAGGATTTGTCACACTTCCGTTGCGCACCCCGGTCCACAGTATCGCAAGGAGAATAACAAGAAGTATAATCGCGAGGCCGGCAGCAAACGTCACGGCGCGTGTCGAAAGGTTCGACATTTTTCAATTGTCTTTCGGAACACGCGAACACTCGTTTTTCGTCGTAATTTTCGTTAAACCGTCCGTATCATCGATGATGACTTTGACGACGTGAAATTAATGTCGAAATTCAATTTTCCTCTTTTCCCTCTAGTAATTCTGAATGTTAAAGTGCCTCTGTCGGTAAAGAAGAATTTCTTTAATTTAATTCGAATCTCGCGGCTACTTTCGACAGATCAATAAACGCGATTAATCACGGTAAAACTGATAAGAATCAAAAGGAAAAAAAAATTGTATCCCTTCATTCACACCGAGACACTATATGCCTGATCATTGTCGATCGTTATTAAGCACACACTATAAATGACGCTATCGATTTATCGATCGATTATCGGACACATTCGATTATACGATCATCAACGATCCATCGACTATTTATAATCCACGTTCTATGGCAGTGATTGTTTATCGTATCATCCAATACATATATACATATATACTGGACAATTCTCATATAGACTATTTGAGAGAGCTCGTAAAATCAATGTCAATCACAATCCCCATTATCGATACTGTCGATTGACAGATCGATCGATTCGAAGACCGATCCTCGAGATCTACAATCCAAATCAGATTGATCGTTAGAAACAAAATTAACAATTTTTCTATCTGTCCTCTCAATCCAGATGGCAACACCGAGCCCCACTGAGAACGCAAGCGCGATATTCTCCACCTTTGTTTGAATTTGAATTTCCCGCCTTGTGCTCGCGCAGGTAAACTCTCGTGCCGATCTGCAACATAGAAGAGAAAAACAATATTATAAAAACGTGCTCCGTGAGGTGAGCATTTCTTATTATTATTAGAATTATTATTATTTCTATCCCTTTTTTTCTTTCTCTTTTTACTTACGTCTCTCTCTCTCTTTTCTCTTGCTTAAATACGTTATCAAATCGTCGTAACGCGCCAACGAGGTCATTGACAGTGTCAACGTGTCACTCCAAGAAAAGCTGAACTCGTATACCATACAAATTTCTATTTTATCATTATTGATTTAAGCGATACGAGTTATCGCGAGACACTTGGGGCGTTATTGTTTTTGGGACTACGACTACTATTCAGTTTTTTGTTTCATTGTCATTTAGATCAGCGTTCGTCTTTATCAGTCCCATTTTATGACACAACCATTTTACCCAGCCGATACATCGCGCGCTCACGTCTTTCGGACTCGCACGAATTTATCAGGCGAAGAAATAAATACGGAAGAAAGAGAAACTAACGGCGTCCAAATTTATACCGTGACGCGGGAATTTATGTAATTTCAAATGAGGTTCGCCCGAAGAAATGATTCACGCGGATCTACAGACGTGAAATTCTCAAAACGTCAATCAAACTCGCTGAAACGTTATTTAAAAAAAAAAAAAAAAAAAATCACATATTATATGAAAGTATAAACATTTTTGTTCCATCGTCTCAACACGAAAGGTCGGCAACTATTAAAATTTTGCCAAAAATTTTTTTTACATCTTCCCACGGAAACACGCGACACCGTGATTTACTGCATACTTCGGATAAACCCGACGTATCAGCAGTTTGCAAATATAATTACTCTACGTAAATGATGATATACCCAATGAATCATATACATACTCCATCTCGAGATAAATCTGGTGAATACTATTAAAAAGAAAAAGATAAATTCTCGTTGCATAATAAAATAGGTCTTTTCCATCCTTTACCGTCAGTCAATATAATTTAAAAGTCATTATGCCACATACTAGCGTTATCATACATCATTATCGCTATCAACAAAACAGCTACAGTGCGATCGCTGTTGCCACCCTGGGACATTGCAAATTTCAAAAAAAAAAAAAAATTTTTTTCCATATCGGTTTCCACAACTTAGAGTTCGACAAGCGCGTAAAATTTTTTTGTCGAATTTGAAAATTAACAAAACGAATATAGTAAGAACAAAAATCGTATCCTCGTAAGCGAGCGAGGAGCGTGCAAGAGATTAGGAATTAAATGAAAGCGAGTAAAATGTTCGGCAAAGTTCAGGAGCCGCGCGGCCGAAGCAAGGCTGCCGAGTGAAATATGGACGCGGCCGTCGCGGCGCGGTCGTCGCGGCGCGAGGCTGCCGACCTCGGAGTCACTCGAGGTCTAGGTCAACCTATTCTCGCCGCGTAACGTCCATACGCGATTAATCTGTCGATCGGCCGATCCAATCGATCCGGGCAAAGTCGATCTTCCCTTTTGCTATAGTACGTGTTACGTAACTCCTACACTCTCTGTACGCTATGAATACTACAATGAATGTATACCATACGGAAAATAAATAATAATAGGGTATATATATATATATATATATATATTGGATTATTCAGCCCAAATCCAAACATGGTTTCACCACAAGTATCAAATTTACTCGTTAATCTCAAATAGTGCGTTCGGGCTGAGTCACCCGGTACGTGGAAATAATTTTTTAACAGTCTCTATGAAAAATATTAAAATGCCATTGAATGTTTAATTGCTGTTAATTAAATAATTAATTTTGAGTGTGTATAAAATTCTATTATTTATAGTGTTTGTATAATAAATTGGTGGTGAGATTTATTTGTTTAATTTGACTCATCTCGAATCTTCGTCACGGAAGAGATCGACGCCTCCCTGACTATGCGTCGTGACGCTCGTGATGCTGTGTACCTGTTGAGCGTCGTACCGTAGACCTTGACGCGTTAGATTCGTTATCAGATTTTGATGAATTTTCTTTTATCATTACAAACGCGCCAATTTTTCGACTCCGTAACGGCGACGCTGGTAAAATTCGTTTGTAATTAAATGAAATTCTTTTATCAACGATTGCTCGAAATCTCGTCGTTACGAAATTATTTTAGTGTCATCTAATGACAGTTGACAGATCACTTGTTGACTGGAATGACAGTGTTTCTTCTTTTGGGATCAATTTATTCGATATCATATATGGGTATTGATTAAATGAAAAAAAAATCTTCACGCCCATGCGGAACAGAGCGTGTAGGTGGGAATTGGTAGCAGGTGGACGATGAGATAATCAAATTTGAATAAATTGAATATCAAAAAAAAAGAAGATTTGGATACAACGACCTTAACGAATTTTCGAGTAACTTCCGGTTATCGGATTTAAATAATTCTTTTTCAAAATCTTATCTGCCTGACAAATACATATCTTATACCTGTATATACTGTATAAGTACATACGGTGTGATTAATATAAAAAAAAATAATTTCAATAATCCACGTGCGTACAATAAATCTGTACAATCATTTACAATGATTACAATTTTGATAAAAAAAAAAAAAACAATTTTTTATAAATCCGCAAATATATTCTGCAATCTTCGGTCAACAGTATTATATACACAATGTGTAATTTATCTTGCATGCATGTCAATTATATTTTTAATTGCAATCCCGGATCCCGCGACTCTCATCAATATATCAAATGTTATCGCGCACGTCGCTTAGAATTCATCATTAAAACGATGGATCGCTGAGAATTCATAATTTCGAGATATCGACGCCGTCATTCCTTATCGCTATTATCGATAAATTATTTTTTCAAAAATAAATAAATAAAAATCCCACCGTATTATTCCCAGCACAACCTTCGTTACAGAGATTAAAATCAATCTCCCTGAATAACAATAATAATAAGTGAAAGATCTTCAGCTTCCAATTCTCTAACATGGACCACGTTCAGCATCCCTCGACAGGACTCCAACTGATAACGCTATCACTACATTAATCCTCACCTCAATACGATACACTTTCGTGATAAAAATTCTTGTCCCTTGTATCATCCATTGCTCTCGAGCTTTTTATCAGTAATTTACGTTGATAATTTTTAAAAATATTTCATTAAATATTTTCTAATCGCGTATCACGTAGTATCGTTAATTCAATATTAATCAATATATCACTGATATACAAATATCGTATTCCCTGCCAATAATAATTTTCCCTCAAAATTATTTTTTCATTATTTTTCCACGATATAACATACATATCATTAATTCGATATATCACTGATATACCCACAAGTATTTCCCATTGAATAATCATTTTCATCATGGCCCTCAATATTTCCGTACTGAATTATATCAGTTAGCACAGTATCATTAAATTCTATATTAATTAACATCTCAATGATGCACTTGATCCATCAATAAACAGCATCATCAATACTCAGCAATAGCATCATCAATAGACTCGATTGACTTTGCGCAATATATATATATATATATTTTTTTTTTTTTGATTCACCCAATCATAATATTCCAAGCCGTCTTTCCACTAACGAACAGTCTAACGATAAATTAAATAATAACGAATTCAGCACTGATCCAAGCAATGGCTAGAATAGTTGCCAATCCGAAGACCCTCGTGACAAGAGGAATCTCAAAAGTGGATCGAACCGAAAAAGAAGCACAATCAGTGGCATGATAGCGACGAGTGGGGTCACAAGGTCATCGCAGTAACGCGACGCCTTATAAGGGATAGCTGTCACATAATTATCCTGCAATCCATGTCGTATCTTTAGCGTCTATCGATAAATCGAAAGTCGGCCCACAATATTTTTTTTCAAAATCTTTTTTTTTCACTTTTTTTTAATACTCGTTAATATTACTAGGAAACACGAAAAAAAAATGGCCTACACGTATGAGAGAAAAATTATTCCTTCGAATATAATAACTGGCTTCTATATATGCGTGTCATACGCCAGACGCCAAGGGGCGTCGAGACGCTCTGGAATTTCTCGAAAAATTAAGGACGCTCGCAAATTAGTGCGATTTACTCCAGAGTTTCGTGAAATTGTGTCAAACGAAAGCAAACCTGAATTACACTGTACGAGAGCGCAGTATAGCAATGAATGATACATTAAGAGATATACGTGTATGGTATACAGGTCCGTTCAAAAGTACCGTGCCGACTAAAATTAATCCGTTTATAATTCAATTTACACGTATAGATATTATTTTTAAGACAGCAAAGTACTTTTGAACGAGCATGTATACACGTGTAATAACACTGTTGTACCAATATACAGAGTGATTCAGAAAATTGTCACTGTCTGAAATTAACCCGTCTATTTGTAGAGCCACCAGATTTCAGTAGTAACTTTGGAATCAGGTAGTAACGCTGCTTCTGAACGACCCTGTATATACTATTGTACAGGGTGGTTCAAAAATTTTTTTCACCTTCTCAAATTAAACTGTCTGTTAAATTATCGGGTTCCGTTAGGTATCCTCGGGCTAGGGTAGAGTGACCAGTAACCTTTGAATGGTCCTCTAGGTACACAGTCTACCTACCTAACTATCTAACAAGACCTAACATATGTTCCTAGCTATGTATACATACCCACTACCAATATATAAAATACGCACATATGTGCAAGTAATACGTGCCTTGGCGTAGACGCACTGGTATTTGTTCTCGTGTATTCCGGCAAACTTCAGGCATTGGCAGAACGAGTTAACGAACTCTTATAAGGTTAGTGAAACGACCGGTAGACGTAATGATTTGACAAGGAAAAGTAAATGAAAAATTAAATAATTTTTTTGAGTTACCTCAATTCAAAAAAGGTGGAGGAGAGATTTTTGAAAATTCTTTTCTATAATTTAACATAGTAAATTGTGTGCGTTAGGTCGGTATGGACTTTCTTGATTTTCAAAAAAAAAATATATCGATGCATCTATGATGATTTGACGGGTTTCCCTTTTTTTTTTGGTTATCGAGAGAATGATCTTCCGAGTCAGCGATTTTGGTTTTTTTTTTTTCGTGTCCATCGCATTCCTGCATTTCATCCCCTTAATGGTTGTGATGAATGAGATACGATAGATATCACAATGACTCGTTTTTGTGAGGATGACAGAAAAATTGAATTAATTATAAATAACGTTTTACTCTAATTATTCTCAAATTTTAAGTCAACAATTGAGCATCGCAGTACCAAAGAAAATTATGACTTTATAAATCCACGTGGGTCCCTGCCTCGTGACAACATAGAGAAACAGCGTTGAGAACCTCGTGAGTGGCAAGGTATATTAAAAAATGTGAAAAATAATAAAATTGAAAGAAAAATTTCAAAAATCCGGCGTTTTTTCTTTTCCAAAAACTTTAAGCCCAACGCATGCTGCCTAAAACTATGAAAACGTACCTCTGGACTGCTGGTAATTATATCCCAGTTGGAGATGTGAAGATTGTGAATTGGCACTGTTATTGGTTTTGCAAAAATTAGAAAAAAAAAAAATTCTCACAAACTCACTACTTGATTTTCTCACGCGAGGACCGGTACGCGCCGATATACAGAACAAGCGGAGCAGAACGTAAACGTGGAGGGACTCGATATTTTTGAAAATATACAGTGCACTGTATTTTTGGAAAACAAAAATTATTTTTTTTCTCTCTTCTCACGGCGAAACGAGACTGATAATATGTTTTTATGGGGAAACGGATAATTGAGGACCCTCTGTGGAGACGACCGGCTCGCTCCGCTCGTACGCGCCGACTGAACGTTGCTTGAACGGCTGAACTCTGGCGAACCGCGGATCCTCTGTATCGAGTCAGGCAGTCAGTCAGGCAGTCAAGCAATCAGTATGCCTGACTATGAGCTACAGAGATACAGAGACTAGGAATATATATATGCGTATATATATTTATTATTATATGGGAAAGATCTTGACTATAGGTATTTAATATATATATATATATATACGGATACCATGCATAAACATACATATATACGTGTAGATGATTGGTTTGGACCAAATTTTAATTTTTAAAGACATATTGGGGTTGGGACGCAGGCCTATGGATTTTTGAATTTTCAAAAAGTTGTCGAATCAGACTTGTGGATAGTGAGAAATTTTTGTAGCGTTCTTTGAGTTAAAATTTCATTTGGCAAAGGTAGATTTTGATTTTTGAATTGATTGTAAGGCACGGAGTGGTATTGTATTCATTTTTTTTTTTTGTAGGAGCTGTTTTTTATAATAGGATAGCACAGTGTGGTTACGAATGAGAATGGCTCTCTGTAATTCTTTTTGTAAGAATTTTGTTCTTTATTTTTTTTTTTTCATTTACTAAGTACGTGTCTGTTTTTTTTTAGTGTTGATGCACCTGTGTTTAACAGGAAATTGTTATCTTTTGAGAATCACAATACGCTCTTTGGATTGCACAGTGGTGTGAATTGTACTGGTTTTTTTTTTAATTTTATCTTCTTCTGATTAATTGGCGCACCTGTTCTTAATATGAGATCGTCGACGCTTTCTTTGGCCATTGTTATTGTTTTATTGACTTTCTCCTTTTTTTTCATTCTTCATTAATATTTTCAAATTAACTCGGAAAACCATGTACTTGGTAATAAGAGTAATGAGTATTGATATTGATATTGTAAGTAAATACTGAAGCAAAATAAATATTTTTTAAATGTCTTTTGAAACACCCTGTACATATCCCGCACTCAAAATATTACGTGGGCATCTTACGTAGACGAGTGTATTTTGTAAAACGAAATCCCGAAACATTTTAAGCCATGACTTTCGATACTGCTTTCATAAAAATTAAATGAAGATTAAATGAGAAATAAAATTTAAAAATTTTTACTTGTGTTAAATTCAATATCCGAATTTTCAGATAGGATGCTTCATTGAATTACTCGTCAATCATTGCCAAAGTGCAATCAAAATCATTGCTAATTTTATACACTGTACTCTCGACTCCGCTCAGGAAAAAATTCTATAAAAATCTATTTCTGATTTTCGTAACAGGATACTTCTTCGTTACCATTCGTGCTCGTCGATACCATTAATGATAAAAAGTATTACCATTCTTGCCGTTGAAGTTACCATTTGAAATAACTGTGTAATTCGAAAATTTGCCGCTTAAGGAGGCAGCACTTATAACGAAAGTATATATCAGAGATGTGTAGGGAGATGCAGAACGCTACTTTTGAAACACATCTGAAAACAACGCTGAAAGTCAGCTCCTTATGCATACCTGCACTGAAGTGTATGGTGTGACTAGTATTCTTAATAGGTATTTTACCGATGTTACGTAGCAGAACTATTGAAAAAGCCTATTGTTGAAGCGTTTTTAAGAGATTTTAAAAAAGTGCGATGCTGGAGCTGACACCCCTGTAGCACCTCAATTTTTGTTGCACTACAACTGGAATTATAACTTACACCTACATTCTACTCGCATGGAACAGCTCCCCAATTTTTCTCAAAGTATATACTAATCATTTTGAATTTATCTTCAAATAATTACCGTGCTATTCTCATTATCAGATTTTCAGTATCTTTAATTCTATTGTTTTATACTATTAATACTTAATTACTGGAAGTTTTACTATAAGTATTTATACATAACTACTTTTAAGAATAGATTTGCCTTTTATGAATAAATACCAGAAACGAAAAATATGTTTTTTAGTGAATGCACCTGAAGACAGCTAAACTTTTATACTATGCTGTATGTCCAACTGCTGATAAATTGGTATTTAAACCTCAGTCGGTTATTTGCACGAGGGACTGTTTGGTTTTCTAACGTTGTTTGATAAGTTTTAATTTGTGAAATGAACAATTAATAGCAATGCTTGAGGAAAAAGAAAAAATTATAAACACAAAAAATGTGTTTCTTACTTCACTGATAGTAAGTGTCAGTCAAGATTGTTTCGTGTATTTAACTAAGGTTAAATAGGGACATAACTAAGGTTTAGAGGGCGATTATTAGTTCTATGAGATCTTAATTCAGTAATATTAACTTATAGAGGAGACATTTATTTATAATTTTGTAGAAATGTTGACGCTATATGAAAGATTGAAGTATGAATGATTAATTTTCATTTATCGTTAAGCTTGTCAATCAACTTAATAAATGTATTAAAGCATGAAATATGATTGTTTGTATCTATACGAAGGAAATACAAAATTACTTGTATTAATCTTAGAACCTCTTGCAATATCAATTCAATAAATGAGTTTCTTACTAATATTTATAAAGTATTTGAAGATAAAAGGATATATTTCATTATTCAGTCAGGGGGCATGGCAGGAACATTTGTGGATTCTGCGCTATTTCCACTAGATACATTGAAAACACGACTCCAAAGTGAAAAGGGTTTTCTTAAATCAGGTGGATTTAAAGGACTTTATAATGGCATTGGTCCAGTTTTAATAGGTGCTGCACCAACAGGTTTGATTAATCAAATTTATATAATTTTATTAGATTCATTTAATATTGCGTATTCTTATTGATCGAATAGTCAAATAACTTTTGTTTTAGCTGCCCTGTTTTTTATGACATATGATAGTGTTAAAGCAATGCTTCAGCCTAGGATTTCAGAGAAATATCATTCATTCATTCACATGGGTGCTGCTTCCCTTGCGGAATTGGTAATTACATTAAAATGGCATGTTACCGATAATTTAATCAAATGAATATTCTTCCACTGAAGATATATTGAAATGAAAAGGTAGCCTGCTTGGTGAGGGTACCAGTGGAAGTAAAGAAACAAAGAAAGCAGGCATTAATTCTAGAGAAAGGAAAACTTGGAATCAGAATGCTTTATCGTGGTTATTGGAGTACGGTATTACGAGACATGCCTTTCAGTCTGCTTCAATTTCCAATTTGGGAGTATTTTAAAAAAATTTGGGCACGTTACAGTAATAGGGAAATAAAGCCTACAGAAAGTGCTCTTTGCGGAGCTATAGCAGGTAATTCCCATTGTAATATATTACAATGTCCTACTACCGTTTGAATGTCAAACATTTTAAGATTTCTTTCCATTTCACATTGAACCTAATAAAAGAATTTTGCTAGGTGGAATTTCTGCTGCAGCCACAACACCTTTGGATGTTGCAAAAACAAGAATAATGTTATCCAGTAGCACAGCCTGTGCGTCAGAACTTAGAATTTTCCATATGCTTCAAGTAGTGTACAAGGAGCATGGAATGCGAGGGTAATATTTTCAGATAAATTCTAGTTTAACTGTATCGACTATATAAATCGTTATATTATATTTTAGCTTGTTTGCTGGGATTGTTCCAAGGGTGACATGGATCATAATAGGAGGTTTCATATTTTTTGGTGTGTACGAACACTCAATGGTCATCGCAAAATTAATATTTCCAACAAGAACAATTTCATATGAGGATCATAGGCAGTGATAGATAAGGTCGATAGGCAAAAATTCTCCAACTGTAACTGACTGTACAAGTGTATTGTTATTTTATCTTAACAAGAGACCAATTTTAACAGTAAACAATAGATGACCATAGAAACAGATATAAATATTTCTTCCTTTCTATGTATAAAATTGTTCTTTTTGCTGTAATTATAAATTACAATTACTATAACATTTTTTCACAATATATAAAACATTAGAAAAATATATCTTGATTTCCCTCTCCTTTCTGTTTTACGTATACTCATTTTCTACCTGTCCATACGCGTGTTATACATTTATAGAGCAATAAACTGTAGTTATCAACTCCATGTATTTTACCTTTTGTTTTGCTCCAGTAAAATCGTAGCCATTGGCATACGACAATGAGGACACCATGTAGTGCAATGTTATTTCAAATAACTCTAAATAAGCCAGGGATACTAAATCACAATCACAGATTCACTGAATTGTATTGTTTTTCATCTACCGTTGAAAGAAGTTCTGTAGCAATAACAGAGATCAGTGGTGCGTCGATAAATCTCGAGACCATTCGTAACCTCAGACTTTAACATGAAAGTGCGCGCATTCAATTTCATTAAAGTTTTGATTTTAAACTAACCATTAGTTTTTCCAGCTTCATTGCCATTTGAAGGTTTCCAGAAATTTTCAGCTTTCCCATCATAAATGCAGTGGCAGGTTTCAATTTACCTAAGTAATAATACATGCACATTATTTTTCATAGAAAAATGACTAAAACTAATAACTCATACCTACGATACTCTGACCACACTTTTGAATTTGTATGTAGTCTTTTGAAATAATTAATTTACATCTTAACTCACCAGTAAACATGGCAAAGAAATTCTTTGAATCCATAGTCAGTGTTGCATCAGCTGGCTGAGGCGGCTCGCCTTTACCAAGAGCCCCTTTCCCATGTTTAAGATCCAGGAACCACGTTCCTTCCTCGTCTCCTAGAAGAAGAAAACATTGAATGTGTAAGAAAACAGGAGAGGACAGAGAGAAACTTGTTAAACGTAATTAGGAAGTCTGAGTAATCGAATTAATTACCTTTGACATTGAACTGATATACAGCTCCAGTTTTGCTAACGAGATCAGTACTCAAGTTCGATTGAATGGCGAAAAATACTTCAGCGACTTTCCCATCGCCTAAATTATTTTTTCCCTGAGTTTTTTCATCTTCTACCTGAGCCTTGTCAGATTGTAAAGGATCCAGGAAAAAGTCAAGCATCAACTTTTCCTTTGATTCTAAAAAATATTGGCAACTTTACCTCTTCGAAGATACAACTTAACAATACAGAAGCAGTGCATTTTTTAGTGGGTTAAAATAATATTATGTAATACGTATATTACCTGGATTACAAGTATATTGATCGAAGTCGGTAATTCCTTCCTGCTTCAATATATTTTCGTCAATTAAAAACTGACCAGTAATTGATTTTGCATTCTTACATATTACAGCATACACAGCATCAGCCATGATTTCTGGTTTGCGACTGTGATTAGCCGCCTCAGAGCCAGCTAGCATTTCAATTGCAGCAGTATGAATAGCTAATAATTAATAGTATCGATTACAATTCGATTAAATATTCACAACACAGCTCTAAAACTATTAATTCGTTTACCAGTTCTTGGCCACACTGCATTGACAGCAATGCCATCCTCCTTAAACTCTTCTGACATTCCAAGAACACACATGGACATTCCATACTTTGCTATTGTATATGCAACATGATTTTTGAACCAAAATGGCTTTAGGTTCAAAGGTGGACTAATATTTACTATGTGGGGATTCGAACTTTTCAGCAAATGCGGTATACATGCTTTCGATCTAAAAGAATGTTTTTAGTTTTTCAATTGTCCATTAATGTAAGATTAAATTGTATCGAGAGAGCATATAGAGTAGCAAATAAAAGTAGTTACACAAGGAATGTTCCTCTTGCATTGATATTATTCATTAAATCGTATTTCTTCATGTCAGTGCTTAGAGTGCCTGTTAAGGAAATAGCACTGGCATTGTTGATAAGAATGTCAATACCACCAAACTTTTTAACAGCACTGTGTACAGCTGACATAACTTGACCTTCGTCTCTTACATCCACTACGCATGGCAGAGCTTTGCCCCCAGCCTTTTCAACTATGAAAAAACTATATAATTAATCCAGATGCTTGTAAAAAAAAAATAAAAAATATAATTGAATTATATAATTCTTAAGTAATTTGCTCAAAGTACGTTCTCACTTTCTTCAGCTGCTGTAAAAATAGTTCCAGGTAATTTTGGATGTGGTTCTGCTGTTTTTGCAGCAATAACAACATTAGCTCCATCCTTTGCTGCCTTTAGAGCAATACTCTTACCAATTCCTCTGGAAGCTCCAGTAATAAAAAGTGTCTGGCCAGCAAGTTTTCTAAAATAGCAATCTTCTAAGTACAAAGTACTTTAACAAAAATCTAACTTTGAATTTAGTTCCAGGCTAGGTCTATCAAGTATTTTATTAAAGGAGCATCAAAGAGTTCAATCCTCTATTGATATTATAAGACTGAATAAGCACGATCTAAACAAATATAAGTATCATAATTTTATGAAACAATGCTTTCTCAGTGTCCAGAATGTCGATGTGAAAGTATCTTCAATCTAAGCTACCTGCAAAGTACTTAAACCTTGAATAGTTTCATGGGCATTGTTGAAACAGATAACTAAATGACTGCTGTTAGCCTATTCACATCACTAACGCCCATCACCATAATATATATGTGTATAATTTGCCTAGCCACTATACCAGATCACATATATATGCGCCTAATGGGTATCAAGATAAAACAAAAAATGTTGGCGATAAGGGCGTATTTTCACTTTCCCATGCAATTCAAATGGGTTAAAGAAGTTCGTTTATAATATCCGATAAAATATCGTAAGAATAATTTAATATTCATTACGGTATTCTAAAAGTACGTCTCTTACCCTGTGTTGATCATTTTACAAAGTGGAAAATGTGAACTTTCACAAATGATATTTGAGGTCAGCACTCCTTAAAGGTATTCGAACAGTATCCAAAGAAATGACAGTAGAAGTTTTATTTATATACAGCTAAGTACTTTCCACAGTCCAAATTCCAAAGGGCAAAACAAGATTGAACAAAATTTTGCCACGATACACAGGTTGGCAAGATTGATGAACTTACGGGACATCCATTTTTTTAAATATGCATTAGAACTGATACAATTAACGAAAAATAGTTTTCTCGATATCGTTAGATATTCCATAAATGCTGATATTGACAATTCTAATTGTTTATAAACACAGACGTCCGTTAATTAATTTTTATCGTTTGACATGTTGGCACCGACCAATTAAAATTCATCATGGCGTTTTAAAATAGCAAAAATAGTGTTTAATTGCGCAAGTGTAAAAAATGAACCACGTGCGTAGGTACCTACATTCAATAGAAATTACGAATTTTATTTTAGACGTTAAGACGGAATTAGATTTACGATATGTGTGGAATATACTGTTGTGTTTCACCTTGCAAAACTGAAAATGACAGCTGTCATAACTGTCGTGTAAATATTGAAGAGGTAATGACTATAAACAAAATTTTTTTATATAGTATTATTGTATTAATTAATAATTTTACTTTATCTTTCAGTGGAAGCTATGCAAAGACTTGATCAGTGCACGTGGCCCGGATAAAATGATTGAAAATGTTGAATCTCTTACAAGTGAATGGTGTGGACATTTTGTAGGTAGTGTTTTATGGATGCAAGGTACTAATCTAATATCACAACCATGCACTGATGGGAATGGCAATATATTACTTTGGAACGGAGATGTTTTCTATGGAACCTTAGTGAGTTAATACAGTGAAGAATGCACAATATTATTGAGTTTGGCAAATTAATTCATAAGACCAATTATTAATTTGTATTTACTTCTTTCAGGCTAATGGCAATACATGTGATACATTAAATATTTTAAATACTTTAAAAAGTACGGATAACGTGCTTTCAACTTTGCGAAAAGTTCAGGGTCCTTACAGTTTTATATATTATCAGAAATCTAGTAAGCATCTATATTTCGGTCGAGACTTTATTGGTAGGCACAGTTTACTTGTAAAAATGAATTATGCAACAGACTCTTTATTACTGTCCTCTGTTGCAAATAAACAGTCCAAAGATTTTATCGAAGTTCCTGCTATAGGTATTTTCATAATTGATTTATGTAAATCAAAACTAAATCTCACTTGTCATCCTTGGAAAGAACCAGATTTGCGATTTACAGACGTTATAGAAGATTTAGAAGGAAAGATTAACATAGATATTGATGTAACGGACACCATAATATCTGAAATTGAGCCTGTGACTTTACAATTTCATCCGGAAGTAAAGGATGTTGAATATTTAGATAGTTTTGAAGATTCAGTAAATTTCAACCAAGTAATGGCACATTTATTGCAAGATGAGAAAGTACAACACAGAGTGAAACATTTGCTAGAGCTTTTGAAGAATTCAGTAGAAGTGAGAATAAAGAAGAAACCGAATTTCTGCAAAAATTGTATAAAATTGATACTAAATGGAGAAATTATTAGTTGCAAACACTCAAAAGTGGGTATATTATTTTCTGGAGGGTTAGACTCAGCTATTTTAGCAGTAATTGCCAACAGCTATGTACCAGAGGATGAATGTATTGACCTGATCAATGTAGCATTTGAAAAGCCATGTAATGCGAATACTGGAAAACAAACTAATTCCATCAATTACGATGTACCTGACAGAAAGACTGGTAGACATACGTTTTCCGAATTACAGTCTATCTGCCCCAAAAGAAAGTGGAACTTCATTGAGGTATATATCTCCAATAAAAAAATTTATTTTTTTACTGTATATAAATGCAACTGTTATAATAAAACCTTAATTCCTCAGGTGAATGTCACACAGGAAGAATTACGAAAGCATCGTGCATCTCGAATTTGTAATTTAATTTATCCACTTTGTACTATTTTGGATGAAAGTTTGGGTTGCGCAGTTTGGTTTGCTAGTAGAGGAAAAGGAATTCTGTATCAAACGGAAACAGAATACGAATGCCCTTGCAGAATACTCTTACTAGGTATGGGAGCGGATGAATTGTTTGGTGGATACATGAGGCACAGAACAACTTTAAAACACAAAGGATGGGATACTCTGACACAAGAATTGAACCTGGAATTGTCTAGAATTTCAGAAAGAAATTTAGGTCGTGATGATAGAATTGTCGCTGATCATGGTCGACAATCTAGACTGCCATACTTGGATGAGAATTTTATAAAATATGTTGAAAGCTTAAAACCGTGGGAACGGTAAGTAATCACTGAAATCGAATTGGTCCTAAAACTATTATAAGCCTTTACATTTGTTTTATACTACTTCTTTTGTGTACACAGATGTTATCCAACAGATAAAATGCCTGCAGGTCTTGGAGACAAGTTATTGCTACGCTTATTAGCCCGTAAGATTGGATTACAAGAAACTGCTAATTTCCCTAAAAGGGCTTTCCAATTTGGATCTCGTATAGCTAACGGAAAAGAAAATGCCAAGGATATATCGCAACGATTATAGAATATTTTAAATATATAAAATACTTCATATGTGAATAGTATTACAATCCAAATCAACATGCGGTATGAAACATTTTTGTAAGCTTATAAAATTTTGTAAAGAAATTATACAACTTTATATCCTACTATATACCATATATGTTATCATTTTTTTAGTTATCACAAAATTGATACTATGTAATATTGCAACAATGATAGCAGTGACAAGAAACTCTAAATATTTCCTTAAATACACATATTCTAATAAAATTATAAAAAATAAGTACATATAAACATTAAACTCTTATCAGATAATTATAATTCTCTGATGTAACAATAATTGCATAACATCAATCAGTAAGCCTTAAAGCATCGTTTGCCTTGAAAGACCAAACCTGAAACTCTTGACCTGTCTGAATAAAAATATAAAAAGCTGCTACCTAATTCATATACTTAAGTAGTAAGCAAGTAAACTCTTTTCATGAGACCCAAGAAAACTTCTTAAAATAGATAGACGAATAATCTAGAAAAATCAGTATAAAGTATAAAACAATCATAACGTATGAACAACCAGTGGAAGGGGAGCGACTAACAAGGATAGAAAAACCTAAAAAAAGGAAAATCGAAGGGTGAATAAGTAATGGCGGATGATAAATGATATTTTTTAAAAGATTACCATGATCAATCAAATATTTTCAGAAGTCAACACAGTGATTTCAAAAAAAAAGTTGAGAGTACACAAATTTCATTCGATAAAAATTCTTGTTGGAGCCACATTGCATTCTAGAAAGAGGCTGACTGTCAAATAACAGTCGGGTCGTTATTATAACGTCACTACGTTAGTCAATAGACCTGTCAGAGACGCAGTTGCGTGCGTGCGTGCGTGATCAGGGACATTTACAGCAATGTACCTTGAATCAGGAAGAATTGGCAAAGTTTCTGGGAGTTTGTGCATTGTCTAAAGAATCGGGAATTTCGGCAGGACGCCGTGGTGGGTGCTTAGGATGGATATCTGGTTCATCGACAAAACTGGTTACAAACGTTGACAGACATACATATATATTGCATGACGTTTTTCTCGCTGAGCAAAAGGATGCTAAATTGTTTCCAGCTGATTCTACTGACAGTTTTCTTACGCGTTTGACAGGTGAAATTGCGTAATTTCGTACCAGTGTCGGCTTCTCATGTGGGTTTTCACGTGATTCTTTGAGACTGTGCACCATGGCGCATCTTGATGCTCTTTTCAATCCCAAGCAGTATTTAAGCCCTGAGCCACTCACTGATCTCTGCTTCAAATTAATCTGTGACAACCTGGACATTATTTCTATTGAAAATGAGGATTCCTATCGTGAGCTTGGCAAGGGTCTTGCTTTCCCCAGTGAAATATGTGACAAGCTCATTAAGTTCATGCAGCGGAGCAAGACAGCAGATGTTAGCGATAACTTTCTCTCCATTTTTAAATCAGTACGGTCCACCAGACTCAAAAGAGTTAAGATAGTGGATGCTACACTGTCGGATGAATCTGTTTTAATCATTGCCAAACATAAAGTTACTGAACTGGAACTCACTGACTGCAGCAACCTTACTCGAATGTCATTGGAGTATATTAATGACCATTCGGAGAATCTTAAGAGTCTTACATTGGGAGGAAGTTCTGATGTTGTTCCTTTGAAATTAAAAAGTGTTTGTAAGAACTTTATAATGATTATACCCATCTACCTGTGTTAAGAATGTTAAATACTTATTTAATTTTTGTTTAGCAGACAGACCTTTATCAATTAATTACCATAGAAGAGGATATGCCCTAAGAGCACCGAAATTGAGTCGGCTCTCCCTGTGGCGTGTGAAGATACCAGCAACAGATTTTGATCTTCTATTGGGAGAACTGCCCAACTTGACACACCTGGACCTGACGGCAGCATATGACATTGGAAATCTGTCTTTCTACACGCTGGTCCCACATTTGGTCTCGCTCACTTTGTACAACGTTAAAATTAATACAAATCCACAATTATTTGTTAAAAATGTTTCACACCTAAGAAGATTAAGGTAACAGCATAATGCAGTAATAAATAAAAGGTCTAGACCAGATCTATATCTTAACATCGCATTAAACATTTCCTAGGCATTTGGACATCTCGCAGTCAAACCACAAATATGGCCAGTTTGATAATCCTAATCAGGTCCTAGCGGAATTAATAGAGGGTCTACCTGAATTAGTTTCCTTAGATATAGGGGGTACGAACTTGGCCGGAAGGGGAGTAGCAGAGCGTCCACATGATAAACTACTAGTTAACTGTACTCAATTATGCGATATACCAGGACTTGCATCAAGAGTTAACAAACCGCTTCAATTCCTGGGACTATACGGAACATCTCACGGTGCTTGCAGAAGATTCGATATCCCAGCGAAAGTGGTAAGCCATTGAAACATCTTTTGTTATTCTTCTGACAAACTTTTTTATATGTAGAACTCCTATACATTCGTTTGAAGTACATCCTAACGTCTAACTGGCACCTTTTTTTTGACTGTTATAGATCGCAGGAGATGCGACCGAGGAGCAAATATTAATTGCAGCTCGAGTGTGTATGAATAATCGAAGTGAACTCCTACAGAAGGTGTTGAATGATCTCTATCACATCTTCAGAAATGAAAGCTGCCAGCGCATGGACCAAGCACTGTGCACTGTTTTGGAAGCTATGGAGAAACACCCATCCGAAAAGCATATACAAATTTCAGGAAGGTATCGTGACTTCTTTTTTTTTTTAATTCTTTACGATAACGCGCTCTTGTCAAATTATGTTTTAACAAATTATTTTCTCTTTGGCATAGTGCAACCCTGTTTTATATAGTCAAAATGAAAGAAAAAAGTGGTCTAGTAGCTGGAATGAAACGAAGAATCATTGGCACCCTTCTGACCGGAATGACGTATCACAGAGACGAGGAGACAATGATGAGGAACGGCTGCTTGGCACTATGTCAATTTCGCATACCACAGGACGTGGTGCGTCATCAATTTTAATTAGTCTAATTTTAAATAAATATTGTCATGTTCACCTTAAGTATCTTGCACATCATCCAAAGTTATCTGACCAATACTAATTTAGTAAAATTTATTTGCATAGATGTGGAACTACGAAGCGTTGGTTAAGGTCCTTCTGTATTCTGCACGACATGCTGAACCCGAAGGTTTTGTCCAGCGCATTGGGATATATTTACTAAACTCCTTAGCTTGTCAAGTTGACGGCCGAGAGAAGCGTCTTCTGGGAGAATTAGGTTGTGTCGGGACAATGCTCAAGTTAGTAGAGTACAGACTGGAGTCTGGTATATTTGACGACGTCCTTGAAGTCGCTTGGTCCACCATGTGGAACATGACTGACGAAACCGCTATAAATTGTCAGCGGTTCCTCGACGAACAAGGAATGCGTCTCTTCCTAGGATGTGTAGCAGTACGTATCACTGTACTTAGAAAAACTATCTTCCCACATTTTAAAATGCATCGATACTAACCATACCATCCCACAGGCATATCCTGTCAAGGAAGAGCTACTGCGAAACATGATGGGACTCTTGGGTAATGTTGCCGAAGTGAAATACCTAAGGATTCACTTGATGCAACAGCAGTACGTAACAGTTTTTGTCAACTTACTGCACTCTGACAGTGATGGAATCGAGGTACTTCATTTTCTTATAATTCATTCTCATTCCTCTGTATTGTTTGACAGGCTTAAAAACATTTGTATCGATGACTATCATCTTTGATTTGCAATCAGGTATCGTACAATGCAGCTGGTATCTTGGCTCACATGGCTTCCGATGGCAAGCAAGCTTGGACAATTCTGGAACCGACACGTGACGAAGTTTTGTTGTTGATGGTTCAAGCAATAGAACGTTGGGACCTATCAGCAGAACGTAATATTAATTATCGATCATTTCTACCCTTATTACGTCTACTGGATGTTTATCACACGCCACAGTGTCAATACTGGGCTGTATGGGCTCTGGCCAATCTCACGAAGGTCTACCGTAAGTATCCACTTACTGTCAATGATGCACTAATACTAGATTATCATTATATTGACTTTTATACTGACTGTTTTTATTCTGTGTAATAGCCACTAAATACTGTACGCTCGTCGAGAACGAAGGCGGCATGGACAAACTGAGAAACTTATTATTCGATTCAAGACCTTACGAAAGGATCAAGAAACTGGCGCGTCAAGTGATTCTAAATTGTTGCCACGCACGTACCCAGTTTCCATCAAATTCGGAAATCAATTTCGACGGATAAACAATGTTCTTCGTTTTTTTTTCTTTAAGAACGTGAAACGGTACAGGGAATGATGACTATCTATCAAGGAGTATAATAAGGAATATGTCGACTCTTGAAATAATTCATTGAAATTCATATCCCAGCATTGATTCTACTCATGCATATTTTTCTGGGAATCTTTTTTCTCTTTCTGTCAATTCTGTTTGACGATTTTCCGAGAAATGTATTTACTTGTCATAGTTTCTTGTGACTCGATGGCATCCTTTAAATTATTCACCATTGCCCAGCTATCATTCTCTGTACTTCTCAGTATGAGGACGCAATTCACTGGCGCGTGGAAATTTTCATCGATGTACATAGCAGTCCTGTATTTTAAGAGGACGATTTATCGAACGGTATTAATCGTAACACGAATACTTAATTTACCTGCTCTTCTTCGTCTTAAGACACTTCTTACGTAGTAACGAGCATTAGCCTTTCGCTCTTTCTTTTTTTTCTGTTGTTGAACGGCTCTCGGGATATCTCCATCTCGATTGGCTTGCTTTGTTTACGCGCAGAACTCTATTTGTTGACTTTCGTAATTATTCTTCTCCTTGCAGGACGAGAAAAAGTGAGAAAAAAGATATAAGCATATACGTAACGTATGTATGTCGCAGTAATCGTTTAATAAATCGTGCGATTTCGTTCTGGAGCGAATGAAAGATTATGAAAGACGAATAGAGTGAACAAGAATGATTGAAGTGAGATAGAGGGAAGTATGGTATTATTATAAACCGTGTTATAATAGAGTACCTTATTGTAAATAGTAGCGCACGAAAAGGAGAGTTCACGGAGTGCTTTAGGTTTGTACGTTTTTTGTATATCGATAAAAGGATATCCTGATTAAATTGATTCTTTAAAATGTTAAGCAGTCATTTAAAAAAAAAATACAAAGTGTTTTTCCGTTGGAAGGGATCTTTATTGACGTTACAATAATAGTTCGGATCGTTCTAAAATTATGGTAAAGAATCAACGAGGAGAATTTCATTCGAAATGGCAAAGTGCAAATAAATATTTAAGATGGCTATTAATAAAATATACATGTTTACCGAATGATCGATGGTTATCGAAATTCGATAGCTTGTAAATATAAAGAGAGAAACTCCTTTTAAATACGCTCGAAATACAGTGTAAAATTTAGAATATTTCTTGTGTTTCTATTTGCCGCTAATTGTTATGCAATTGTTCCTTTGTAACGATAATTTGTTACTGGATTTTAGTACTGCGAGAGTCAAAACAATTACTGCCTGCGATTTGTAAGAGAAACAATGGGAAAACAATAGCTGTGATTCATTTGACTCGTAGTTGTTTCTGGTTTTTTTTTGACGCTAGATGGAACTTGGTCCGCGTGTCCGGTTCAAGTCCGTCGGTTCCAATAATTCAGTAGATTGCCAGGACGCCGTAAGGCCGACATTTTCGTTCATTTGCACTACGTAGACGAGTCGAGGAATTGTAAGGGGGCCGGTCTTGAGTAATTGTGACAATTTCGAGCTTACAGAACGTGGCGCGACTTTCTTTGAAAGCCGGTATGTATTCTTAATCGATCTTTCTTATATCTAACAATTTAAGAGCGATGATAAGTCAGAAAAGTAGTTAGCGAGGACGCAATCAATTCTAGCAATGGTCTTGAGTCTATTGATTTTTTCAGCTAATATTTGGTGTCAACTGTTGCTTTGTAAAGAGCTGTTTGAAATTTTTAGTTCCTATTTATTTATTTTGTTCCTTAGTATATATTTTTTTATATTAAAATTGCTATGCTTTTCGGACTGCTCGCGTGTATGTGTGGTGTCTGATTGGGCCTTGGCCTCGCATGAGGCGTCCAATTTGGATTGAAGTTATTTGGAAGGCAGTAAGGATTAGGAAATAGAAATTCTTAGTCGGAAATTGTTCTGCTCACGAAACAGTTTATTTTTGCAGTTATTATAATCTGAAGATTTATTCTGTACGTTCACATGTATTTAGCCTTTGTAGCCAAAATGAATAATTGTTATTGCTGTTATATGAAACCTACAATCTTATCAAGTGTGGCTGTATATGGTTATCATGTATGATGCCTTATAAATATTCTTTATTTTTACTTTCTACTTTAACAGAGGCTCTATGGGTGTATGTGATATAGTTGCGCATTTCTCATACATGATATAATGTTGATACAATTAATTATTGTCATTGTCACTGATACAAAGAGTTATAATTGTATCTTATAAAGTTACAAGTATTTTTTATATGTACTACATTTAAAATATATTACTATTTTTCTCCGTAGACCATTGTCACCATTTTCATCATTCGTGACTCAACTATATGCAATAATCATGAGTTACGGCTACAATAAGTACAGGTTAGTAATTTTGTAGAACCTTCACTGGATGCGAACTGAAACCACTTGACAAGCAATTAATTATAAATATAATGTGGCTACCAGAAATTATTGATAAATCCTTATTGGCAGCTCCAGCATGAGCTCACGTGGGCGTGTGTTCAGCTCTCGTGGTGGTGGCAGTTCTTACAGAGGACGTGGAGGAGGTAGTGGTGGAGGAAGTGGCGGTAGTGATTGGAACAGTGGATCAGCTGCTGGAAACGTTACCAGCAGAGGTGGCTACTCGTCATCCAGAGGTGGTAGATTCAAATATTCTACACCTAGCTATGACTCCCGTTCTAAATATACTCCAGGTTAGTTTCAGCACTTAACCACTTGCACTGTCAATTCGTTGCCAGTGCAAGTGGTTAACAGCTATCGAATCATGTTCATAATATGAGAAACGACAAACTAATAACTGCTCTACGATAGGTGGAGGTTCTGAAAGATATTCAAGCAGAGGTGGTCGAGGAGAACATTCTAACAGTTACAAGCGTCCACGGGTAAGTAACCAAAAGAGTACTTGTATGTATAACGTATATATCTATACTGCTTACAACACACAAATTATCCAATAATCAAAATAAAAAAAAAAAATAATCTCCAATATCCTTAGGATTCATATTCTGGCAGAGATGACCATCGTTCATCGAGCGAGTCGACACGTAAAAGAATTAGAAGTGAATCTTACCAGGTATTTATGTCTTTGAAATACACATAACCTAGTTTTAAATTACCAGCACTTTGCATTCTAATACATTTGGAAAGTCGCATCAGACTCAACGCTTAGAAAACAAGATGAGTAAGAATCAGTGATAAATTTCATAATACGAAAATTTTCAAGAATTTCGTGAAAATGAATCACGTGCCAGTCTTCCCAAATTAGTATGTTCCGCCTAGTGATCACTAGAAGGTTCAATTTCATCCAGAGTAGATTGCTTAGAACTTTTTTGAAAACCATAAAACTCGAGTTACGATACGTAGCTCGTTAATTAAAACATGAATTCAGCATAGAACTCATAAGTTGTCATGCTTTCCTTTCAAGCGACGAGCCGACGGCTGCTCGAGCACCAATTCTTTTTGTGTTGGGAGAGATAAACAGCTGAAACGGCGCGATAGCGACCAGATAAAAAGATGAAAGTTGAAAAGATGAGATTATCCTATCTAGACAAGATGATAATATCATTAACTACGTATAGGCCCACGTGCCGTCTTCGAGCACCATGACAATAAAATGGGCCCCACTAAATTACAACACAAAAAAACTATTCCCGCCCTCTAATGTATCACAACGTTAAAAAAGAAAGATACCGAATCTTTCCACTGAGAATAATAAGAAAAACTCTCTCGATCGCTTGGCGCGTGCTTAGACCGAATAGCTGTGCAAACAGACATCATGACATTTACCGTACCCGTGATGCTGTGGAAACAAAAAGTGAAGGAGGATACGTGGCGTCGATTGCTTTGTTTTTTTCATTATCTTTTTACTTCATAAAAGCCACCAATTTTCCAAATTCTCAATCCGACATATAGCTACTCTGGAATTTATCACTCTGTTTGCCTCCTCTTTGACAACCACCGGCATAGAATAATAGATAGATACGTACTAGAAACGTTAATAGTTACCTTCCTCTGAACATTATACCGATAATAATCAAAATAATACATACAAGATGGCCACACGTACGATTGGCGAGCACGACACACAATTCACGAGATTTTGATAATAAAGCGATCGGCCATATCGTGAGAGGTCTCTTTATATAGAAGGAAAATGAAAAATATATATATATATATATAAAGAGAGACAAAGTGATGTCAGGAGTCAACGATACGTATCAGAATACAATGACAACCACGTGGAACGGCTATAGCGAAACATTGACAAATAAATGAGGCAAAATGATTTTAAAATAATTCAAGTAACCAGCGAACCGGGGTATGACGTCTGAGTAGGAGAAGAAGGTTATAGGAACGTGAGAAAGAGAGAGAGAGAGAGAGGAAAGAAAGTAAATACTTATAGAGACAGACGAGCGAGCGAGAGAGAGAGAGAGATAGAGTGAACGAGCGCGCGTGCGAGAGAGAGAGAGAGAATTATAAGAGAGAGATAAAAACTTTAAAAAAAAAAAAGGACAAGAGAGACAGCACAATTGAATTTGCTTTGGCAGGGAGGAAGCAGCGGAGGCGGAGGTTCCCAGAGGTATTCGTCATCGTACGGCGGCACGTCGTCCTCGGCTCCTTACGAGGAGAACAAGAGATCATCCTCGTCGGCAGTATACGACGACAAGCGGCAGAGCGATCGCGCCTCCACGTATCATCGCTCGGAGGATCGTCACTCGGCGTCCAGGAGTTACGCGCCGCCGCCGCCGCCCCGGATTAGCGAGATGCCGCCGCCGGTACCACGTTACAACACCTCCAGCCGTGGTAGAATATCCCACCAGAATACCGGATACAGGGGTCGCATCTCGACCCGGGGCGGCGGTACCCGCGGAAACGGCGGCGGCGGCTTTCATCGTATGGGCTCCAGGTCCGACGTCATCCTGGCGCGCAAACGATCGCTCAACATGCTCGAATATCGTCGGAAGGTCCTTGGCTCGCGTTCGAGAGACTACATCCAGCGTGTGCGCATGACCAGCACAAAATTGCGCAGGAGGTAACTTATTAATAAACAATCAGTTAATTGAGAAAATTGGGAGAGAGATAAAGGGAAAGAGAGAGAGAGAGAGATATTTAACGATAATAATAATATTATAATAATAATGCCGAGAGCGAGCCCTCCTCTATCCTAAATGCATTGTAGCGGCGTCTGCATACGTTTGACCTCTTGAACTTAACGATTCGATGACGATGAGGAATGTCGATATGCCTGCTGTCCAAGATCGCAAGAATTGTTTGCCAATATTGCCAATATATATATATATATATATATTTATATATATATTTGTAATATCTATACACAAAATATATTATAGAGATTATCAGAATTGTAATAATAACGGTAGAAGCTGGCAACGTGATCTTGTAATTTGAGGATAGAGAAATGGCCCTAACGAGAACGAATTTTTAGCAACAATCTCATTTGATCCGTCGAACAGTGTCTGACCTGGTTGCGCTTGAAGACGGAAGATCTGATTAACTATGTGATACGTATATATTTTACAGAAATGAAAAAGAGCGCTCAGGATATACTCGGAGATATGTTTGAAAAATATTGAAAAAGGGAACACGCTCTTTACGCATGCGTCAAGTTTGCCAACGTCGTTACGTTGTCGTTTAATTAAATTTATAGCACTCGGTGATATATATATATATATATACATAGAATGATTATATACTGGCATCGGATAGCGTCATTAGAGAGACCACAGTAACTAAGTATCATCACTAGAATTGTCAAAAACGTGGAGAAAACGCGATATATGTATATATACGTATATAGAAGTGCCTACGCATTCGCGGGATAAAAAAAAAAACAAAAGCAAATATGTACATAGTCAAATTGGAAAGAGTAATAGAGAGAAAAATAATGCTGTTACTACGTTATATATGTAATGTATCCTACAAAGGTATAGAGCATAAACGATACAGCGAGGAAGTTGAAACTAAAAACTTAGAGAGAACTCAAACCTATAAATATATACAGACGTCCATAGAAAAAAAAAAAAATACAATAATTTGATCGACAAATGTAAAATCTCTATATGTATATGTATGACCAATTAATTATGTACAAACTAGAGGACGAGAGAGAGATATATATATGTACGAGTACCTAAATACGTTTTGGTTATTAATTAACGATGGAGAAGATAACAAATAGATGGAGTCGTCAGATAATTAAAAAAAAATAATAATGCCAAAATGCCAATGAGGTTCTATATATAAAAAAAGAGTATATGCATATGTATATATATAAAGTATGACAAAAAAATATTGCTATGCCAATAGTAGCGGTACTACTAGGCTATCCGGCAGTAAAAAGGACTCGGGATCCGGTTCCAGCATGAAGGACAAGGACAGAGAGATGGCCAAGGCTATTAACGCGGAGTTTTCCGACGACGACGATGACGTGGACGACAACAAGAGTAACTGGGACGACGACGAGAAGGTAACGTGTGTTTCCAATGAAGGAAAAAAAAAAAATTAACGAGTAAGAAAACAAAAAAAAAAGGTATTGAAAGCGACGCAGAATGCGTCCAGGTCAAATGAGAATCCTCGGAGTTTCGCGAGGATACTCGACGGAACTGCGTTGTTGTCGCTACGATGAGTGGGAGGCTTTAACTTGGTAACATTGGTGCAGCCGCAAGAACACGAGGAAGAGGAGGAGGAGGATGATGATGATGACGAAGAGGATGATGTGGAGGGTGATAAGAAGAAGAAAGATGAGAAGAGAAAGAAGGAGAAGCAGGAGAGGGAGAGGCATACTGAGGATGAGGAGGAGAAGGACGACGAGGCCAAGGACGACGAGGATGACGTTAAGCACGGGGTAAGTCTTGGCCAGGTGTATGGGGTGTATACGAGTCACCTGGTTTTTCTTTCCGTGGATTTTACTTGCTGTGGCGTTTTGGGCATGTTCTTATTTGTTGGTGTTTCAATGAAACAGGAGGACGATGCTGAGGACGAGGAGAGAGACGAGAATGATAAGGGTGAACATCCCAGGGGTGCCGGGAACGAGGAACTGCCCAGTAGACGCGACGGTAGACGCTTCATTAAGCTCAGCTGTCCCCATTGCGCCCACCGCAGCGTTACCTTTAAGGAGTACTCGCTTCATTTGTACTCCGGGCGACATAACACCGCCATGAGACGCGTCGCGGCGCGGTACAAGGCGATGCTTGCGAGGATGCGCGTCGTACAGAGGCAGGAACAGAGGAGAGTCGAGACTAGGGATGCTGCTAGGGGCACGTTACCCTCGCGCACCATTTTCTGTCCCATTTGCAAGCTGAACTATCGCTCCTTGAAGGCCATGCACCAGCTCTCTGACTCCCATCGTCAGATGAAACGGTTCCTCACTCCGTTCTGTCGTGTCTGCCGGATGCAATTCCGCTCGCCCATGAGTTACGAGACTCACGTTTGCTCCTTGGATCATATTAAGGTAGAATTGCTGTAGATTTTGAGGGTTTTTTTGTTTTACTTTGCATTCGGGTTGTGGCTTCTTAGGGTGACGTTTACTTGTATATTGTAGAGGAAGAGTATGGTCGAGGAGAGGATGAATAACGGAAGCGTAGAGGCGGAGGCTGACTCGAGTGGTCCTGACGAGGATGATAAGGAAGTAAATCTGGACAACTTCATGACTCTGGACTCTGTGGGGGATGTTGACGGTAATGTATATTCCTTGAGTGAGGTTTGGGGTTTGTTGAGTGAGAGAGATTTTAAGTAGGCTGGGTTATTGTAGCCGAGGAGGATGAGGAAGCTGGGGATAAGAAGAAGAAGGAGAAACCGGAAGGGGAGACCACTGCCGAGCCAGAAAAGAAACCTAAGACCAAGCAGATGATAAAGGTCGGCGCAGAGTATATTAAGCGTGTGGAAGTTCAGTTTTGTGAACTGTGCAAGGTCTACCTGCCCCAGAAGAGCGACAACAGCGAGAGGGCCATAGCTCTTCATTGCTCGTCTCGAATTCATCTGAAAAGGTATTCGAACGTTGGTAATCGAGCAATCAGTCAAGGGGGTGAAGTATCGAAGCTGGTATTTTAATATGTCCAGATACGTCCGGGACAACGACGATAAGGCACTACGTCGACAGGCTGAACGGATACACTTGCAGACTTCCACGTCGGCGAATACTAGCGTCGCCAGCAGTAGCACTCCGGGTACCATAGAGACTACTAAGACATCGACAGCTGACAGTCCTCAACCTCCAACGTCCTCAGCAAGCGGTACTACCTCAGCGACGGCTACGGGGGGCACTTCCAACGTTGTCACGGAGAACGTAAAACCTGCGGATCAAAAGAATGGAGCTGCTGCCGAATCTGAGAACAAAGGCAAACCCGAGGCCAAGGAGGGTCACGAGGAGGAGGATGAGGATGACTATCATGTTGACGGTGGCGACAAGCTCTGGGACGACGTAGACAAGGACCTGGGAGTGATACTCAGGGAGACTGAACCCGGGACAAAGTCTAGCGACGACGAAGACTCGCGATACGACCGCTTCCGCAATTCGGACACGAAATTGCAGCTGCTGCAACACGGTAAAGAGAAGGAGAGAGACAACGAACAGAAGGAAGTCGAGGATAAGGATGTCACAGCCAAGAAGACGGAAGTCAAGGTCAAGATTGAAAAATTGGAGAAGTAATTTCGCGCGCATACGTGCCATGGAAAATGATTGGAGCCTAATCCGATCCCTTCACGTGTGACGTTGATTGCATATTAATCGGTCTGCTGCTTCGTGTACGCTGTGGCATCGGGACAAGAATTCTGTTTATAATTATTATACATGAAAATATAAACAAACAAATAAGACTTGTAGTTAGCGTCGGGTAAAAAGTGTTACGGTGACGTCTGATAGCTCTTGACTTATTGGCACTAAAGTACATGATTATTTTTTTTTTCTCCCTCTTGCCAAATGTCAATCCAACATTTTAAACGTCTTGTTACTGACACTCGCTAGATTAATGGAGCTAAAGCGGTCATGTGAAATTTGTTTAAACTATCAGTCGCCTGGCGATTAGCTGTGAACTGCGTGTTTACTGCGAATTCGTATTTGTCGAACAATACTGATGACAAAACGTGGAATTTTCATCGCATTGTGAACCATTAAGTGAAATACCTAAATCAGATTTTTTTTAAATAGGATATTGACCATTTGTTTCATATACAACAGTGTTGCCAAACAAAAAATAAAAGTACGACGAGAATGTACAACTTTTCCATCACTTCTTTCTCAAACTTTCATTCGTGGCATTCAATAATTAAAATCTCGCTAGCTACTTTAATCAACGACTTGAACAACATCCTGTCACTGCAGGGTGACAATAGATATTAATTCCGTAATATTATTGTGATCAAAATAAAAGAATACTGTGCAAAAACTACGTCATGTGTATACTAGTTGCAATAAACCGTCTACATTAGTAGCGTTTTTGTTTTTGTCGGATGAATTTCCAGCGTGGAAAAATCTTTGAAAAGTCCGTAATGTAGCAGAGCAATAAAAAGTGAAGTGTAATTAAGATTTTCATTGATTGTATAATATTTACGGCCTGCCGGAAAATAAATCTTGTATGGCTAATAGAGTTTTAAGAATGTTTAATCAAAGTAATTGTTACAAAGCAGTTTTGAAAATCGAACACTTAAATACATTGATATCACAGATTATTATTTGTACAATGTCAGTCTGTCAAGAATTTGAAGGGATATCAGAGTTTTTATTTTTTTCTTATATACGGTACGTACTTTGTTTTATGTCTCTGTGAAACATAGGTCTTGATAATTGATGCTCTAATCTTTCCATGAAGAACTAAGTAGGCCGAATGATAATTATATAGTTTTAACAGCAAAGACCACTCATTCTTTGGTTTTATCATAGTCAATGAGTAATAAAAAAAATCAAACAAAATCATTATGAAACATTGCTTTTTTTATTTTGCTAAATTTGCTTTCTGTGAATTCATTTTACAAAGGAACATAAGAATTCAATATATTGACTAATCGGTCATGACAAATTTTGCTTATGATGGCGGAAAATTATCATTTTTTATTCTTTTTTTTTTTATGACTGTTGTTTTCTTTACTTTGGGATTGTTAAGTAACGACTATTTACGGTACAGTAAGAGTATCAATAAGATCACTAATAACACTTATAGAACGATTTTGATGAAACGAAAAAACAATTTTGATAAAACGAAAAAAATAAAAAATGGATAGTTGCTAACCAATAGTTACATTCAAGTATGCTTCAATAATAATGTTTTTTATAAAACTATAAAAATAAATCTTTGTTGTTTCGTTCGACTATTCTTCCTAAAAACTAATAAGGCAATCCTCCGCAACGGGCGATACAGCAAATTTGCATCTTTTGCTTTTACAACAAAAACATCGAGGAATCTTCCTAGTCATCTAAATGGGAAAGCAGTACACTCAGTATCGTTTATAAATGTCTCACTGGTAAAAATGTAATCATGTTACGGGTTAAACAAAATAAATTTATCATAATTACGTTAGAAAATAGATAAGCATCGTTTGAATCTTCTTGGGAATATAAAAAAAATACAGGACTCAAAAAAAAAAGATTATAGCAATGATATTATATAACATCACATATTATTTTCAAACGTCACCTGTACGTATTGTGTTTTGTCAAATCTACGGACTTTTAATGAACTCTAATGCTCTAAAACAGAATTACATAGTTTGTTAAATGAAAGAACGTCGGTATATCAAATTTAAAAAATCTCACTGTAAGTTACTCTAACAGTATTTCTAATGTTTTTAGCATATTGAACATCATTGACAATTCAGATTCATAATGTGTACAACCAAAACCAAATTCTATAATTTCAGGACTCGTATTCAACCTTATGGCAGTCATGATACGAGATTTATCTTCGACTTCTATTAAATGTTTCTGAAAGTCAATTTTCATGGATTTCATTAGCTCATGAAAATCTTTTCTCAACTGTATGATAGATTCTTCGATGGATATATTATTCATATTATCAGCTTTAAGGTTAACTGCAACAAGGCCCAGGGTGCTGATGGTGCTTAGGAACTCTTCACGCGCTTTTTCGTCATAACTGCTTTTTAATTTCGTATGATACTGGCACAGTTTCATACCCAAGTTCACTTTCTTAGTTGTCGCGGGATTAGGACAGAGACCAGGGTATCTGGCTTTGGCAATTTCAGAGGCCATCATTTCCTGTTTTCTGCTTTCTTCATTTTGTAACTTAAAATCGGTGGCATCCGAAGAACGTATATCAGAGACAACGTCCATTATTCTGTCTAACATTTTCTTTGCTGCATCATGTTTTGCTTGCTTCTTTGTTGTAGCCGTACCCTCTTCTTTAAAGGTAGAAACAATACAGCGAATAGTGAAAACTCTGGCATGTGGTGGTCCCACGTCGCTTATCGCAACGTACTCTGGCCCGCGCAGCTCATTCTCAGCACAAAGATCCTGAAAGCACTTCACGCTCGAGTATTCACGTTTTCCACGGGGTCCAGGAATGCTTTATGGGTTGAGCTTATACCTGTAACGCGCCAATGGCATTTATGAATGGTGCATTTGGAGGAATCTTTGGGGATGGTGGTATTTGTGCTGGTAGCGGTGTTCTCATTGGGGACTGCGCAGGAGATGCTGGAAGTTGTGGGTAACTTCTATGCTTTGCAATGGTTTCTAGCATAGTTTTGGCTGCTTCGTGTTTTGCATCCTTTTTACAACGTCCTGTTCCCGTTGCGGACAAACCATCACATGTTACTTGAAACGTGAACGTGTTTATGTGGGAACCTCCTCCGTCATAAATAAGTTCATAGTTTGGAACCGTTCCCTTCTTCACCATCATCTCTTGCAATATCGATACTGGCGTTTTGTTCATAGTGTACTATGTTAGTAGTTACTTTGGAATTTTATAAAGCTTCTTCACTTTCAAGAAAGTGAAATCAATCTTTTGACTAGAAGAAACTAGCCAGTTCTTTATATAATATACTAATTATTTAATCTCATATAAACTTATACCACAAACTAGTCTTTATCAAACACCATGAGCTACATTGTACCGGATATACCTGTGGAAATATTATTTGGTTATCAAATGTCCAATCAATAAGGAACATACGTATACTAACATATGTATACTAACCTATGAAATTATGAAATACTTTCATGTCAGATATAAACAAATAATCTGTCCATTCATTTATTAAAGTTTTTCAAAATGCGTAGATACTTTCTTCTGCAAATTTCTGTGGCAGAGTCAAAAAATATACTAATTGTTGCCAACGATGAACATTAATGTTGGAAAATTACTAAACCGTTAAACCATGTTAGATCACGTTAGATCAGTTGTTTAAACGAAGTTGCGCCACTCATCCACTCATCTCAAAGATGTGCCACCATCAAATTCCTACAGAACTTCGAGCCCTCTATAGTAAAGATAAGAATTACTGAATATAATTTTTTTTTATAACCTAACGAGCCGGTCGACTAATGATAAATTATTGTAATATATAAATTATTACAAATGAATCTAACAATGCGTGCCAGTTTACTTGCATCAAGAAAATAATAAATCAATGCTAATTCTAAAATAAATAAACAATTAAGTTTGTGTTACGTAAGTGAAGAAAATCATGTACCAGAGATGAGCATTTACTATCGTACGATAGACATAACCTCGTAAATGTTAAACAAGTATGATAACAATGTATCAACAATTTTGATTACTATTAAAATATGACCCAAAATACAAACGAAAACAATAAGTTTTAGTTAAACGAAAAGTATCGTGGATGTAATACAAGAGAAACTGTGCTAAGAGTATCATACAAGTAGTATAAAAATGAGGAACTTACGGCAACTAAGAAGCGCAATTTTAATTAATAATAAAGCTTTTATGGTTTCTACGTTAATGAAAAATTACACGCGATATCCTACAATCGGTTCATTTACAACGTATAATCTGTGTAATGACGAAGGACTGTCTCACTATAAGAACGAACCGGTGTCAGTGAAAAGCTTTGCTACATCCTTCGATTTGATTTCACGTAATTTTTCTGTGAGCAGTAATGTCTTTTCCAAGAGTAAAGATCGCGGAAAGGATAAGAAGAAACCCTCGAAACCTAAGGAAATAAATATCAATGAATTGGCCGAGGTGATAAACGTAGAACATTTAACTTCACAAATGGAAAAGGCACTGGAAGATTTGAAAAATAGTTTCATTAAGAATTTGACTTTACGCTCTACTACTGGTTCTATTGAAGAAATTCCGGTAACGTATGAAGGCAAGGAATATAAGCTTCAGGAACTGGTGCAAATCTCCCGGAAACCGAAAACTGTGGTTTTCAATGTTTCTGCATTTCCTCAAGTAATACCACAAATTATTCAAGCTATTGCAAAAAGTGGACTCAACCTTAATCCTCAGCAGGATGGAACGACGCTTTTTATTCCTATTCCCAAGTGAGTCGCTTTTGTTTTTCTGATTAGTAAGAAGATGGAATTTCAAAGAGACTTTTATTTTTTGAATCTCTACTTCTAGTATTACGACGGTTATGTCTACACGTGTGCCACCTGTGAAATAGACTTCAAATCAATTTCAAAACTGATGTACTTGGGCCTTTAGATGGTATTTTTTTTTTTTCAGGATGAATAACAAAGTATGCTTTTTATTTCAGAGTAACCAAGGAACATAGAGAGGGTCTGTCGAAGAATGCCAAGAGCCTCTTTATCAAGTGTCGAGATCACATAAAAGATATACAAAATAAAGAAATCAAGAAGATAAAGAAGAAAACTGAACTGTCTCAGGATCTTTCTCGCAACGTGCAAGGTCAGATTCAAACTTTGGCTGATAAGTATGTCTCGGAAGCTGAAAAGATTCTGGAAGCAAAGACGAAAGAATTACTTGGAGAATAATCGTTATTGTATATTGTATGTTTTTTTAAATTGCAATCTGTGGATTATTTAGTCTGTACTATAGTAGAGATAGTAGGTTGCGATGCAGTAGTTATACTAACAAGTTATACACAATTTATGATTCAATGGTTATAAATGTACATATTCAATATGTTTAGTTACGTATGAATTTGCAATGACTAATAATACACACTGTTGTATGGTTTTGCGCAGTAAACATTATTATTCAATAATAAAGTTTTTTTATCTCGGTTTTCTCTAAATCAGATTTACATCATTCACTGTGTTAGTGCAAATAAATATTAATTGCATCTTTTGAATTATCTTAAAGCATTTGTTGAAGATCATTACAGTGCATCTTTTGTCGTTGCAGCTTCTCTCAGTAGTTGTATGAACACTGTTTATGTATTTGGATGGTGAGCAGTGAGGATGGTACCATTCCATCTAATACTTCTGTCATTGCCCAGAATTTTGTCATTGTCAGTAAAGTTTTGTCAAGTATGGGCAATGACAGAAATTGCACTATACCCATTAATATACAATCATTACTATCAAAGGCACGTTGAAGCTTCAGATGTGTCTGAAATGATAAAAATTAATGATAAATAGTTGATATCAATTGGTCATCTCGACATTTATCCATAATTTTAATTTTGATAGCCAATAGAATTTTGAGACACGTACTTTAAATGTATAATAATATTCATTTTTACTCATATTAGAAACTAATCTGTGATATCAAAATATATAATCATTTACCAGTCTGTGATCTGATATACTGCAAAAGTGCTTCGCACAAAGCTTTGCCTGCTGCAGTAAGTCTTTCTGTCGGATGAAAAGCAATGCTCAGTCTTAAGAAGTTTTTGGTTTTTTTAGTATTTGAAAATCGTGAACCGGGTATAGCAGAAACTTTATAAACCTCCTGACACCAGGGAATGAATTTGGCTGCATCAACACCTGGTGGAAATGAATAATTATAGAGGCGACAAAGAATTATGAAGTGAATTACAAAAACAAGCTCCCAAAATTGCCTTGCCTAATGGTAAATGTATCCAAACAAAATATCCACCTTGAGGTCTCCGATAGGAACAACATTTTGGCAAGAATCGGTCTAAGACGTCACAAAGTGCGTTCAAACGTTCCTAAAAGCCAGGGTGAATTTATCTTTTTCATATTTGAAAAATTCATTTAGTGTACCTTATATAAAGTGACAAGACTATCCAAGTACTCATCCTCTATATTCATCTGCAATAAGCTGGTAATCAATCCAGAAATATAATGATTGACTGCTCCACCGCTCTTTAAGATTCCTCTAATAAAAATAGATATTATAAAAAACACTAATAAGGATAATTAGAAGAATTAAATGCAAATGGCCCTAAAATATAAGACTAGGAAGACTCATAAAGATCATGTGATCTGATTGCTTTCATTTCTAACACAGAGATCAGAGTATAGCCAAGCCTTCATTTAATTAAGAATTGAAGTAACATGGAGTAAAATTAAATAAATAATATACGCCACAACTATCTACTTACGAAGCTTTCAAAATCTCAGTAATACGATGACTGCTTTCCAACCAACCCAAACGTATAGCTGGGAATAGGATCTTTGAAAAGGATCCATTGGAGATGACATTACCACCCTTGTAATCAGGATCCTTAGGATTATCATAATAAAACAATCTATGTGGTGGAAGACCATCCCCGTAGTGAAGAAGATTATAAACATCATCACAAACAACAACTATAGAATTTTCACGTGCAATTTTCACCAGGCGTTTACAATCCTCTGTTAAAAAAAAAGATCCCATAAGGATCACCATTCCATACACGGATGAAACCTTAATACTACAAAAATTGACCTGGAGGAAGAGTCATTCCTGTAGGATTGTGATATGTTGGAATCGTGTAAAACATCCCCCAGAATATTTTATCCTTGTTCAAGAAGTAATTGCCTTTTCTTTCCACCTGGAGGATCTTCTCCATCTCATCAAGGTCCACCAGGTCATCCTTCATCGGTACTAAGTAATCATTTTATATTGATCACAATTTATTTCACGCTGAATAATACTATGCATCGTCTTTCAAAATTTAAATTTACCTATGACTATCCGCATGAGCGGAAATTGATTGAAGGCGTCCAGGGCAATCATGTACGTCACTTCCTCTACAAAAATAACGCCGTTTGACGAGAGAATACTACACAGAAGAAGCTGAAGACCATGCGTGGCGCCGCAAGTTAAAATCAGCTGTTCCCTTGCAACTGGGTCGCCATAACGGCGTCCTAAGAACTTTGCCAATTCTTCGCGACACTCCCAAAGACCTGAAGTGATGCCATATTGAAACAGGTAATAGTTTCCTTCTTGCTCTTCCTCTTCCTGTAGTAATTTAAAGAAAAACATAGCCATTGTCTTCCCTTCTTTAATGACAAGTCACAATCATCAGGTTTGATGGATCAGTTCAATTGACTTTGCACTCTCACCAATCTGTGCTGCGTCGCCCTCATCATCATGAGTCCACATTGCTTGAGTACATCAGGACCTGGTGCACCCACTGAGAGGTTAGTGACTTCTTTTTTATAAACATTAAATATCGGGTCGCCATCAAACAAATGTCGTAGATAGGTATCCTTCGTTTGTTCCATTTCCGCTATTGAGTTCAAAGAGAGTTGTAGTATTTCTGTACGAATTAAACGTTATAATTTTCCAAATATCACCGCACTGATATTTACGATTATCAGTAATCTGTATCATACAATACTATAACAATACAAAAGTCAATTTAAAAAATATCAGCTATCGGTACTTTGTGTTATCTCAGACACATACTTCGTCTTAGATTTTATTTTTAAAAATACAATAATCTTGTAGATAGATTCGCGTAGTTCATACGCTTTAGTACAAGGAATAATAATCGCACAAAAAGGTTCACAATCGGTTTACCAGTTGAAGAAGAATCGGAAAATCTTTATCCCACAAGTTTATCCATAATTCAATAATATTATACGTAATTTAGGAAAGTCATTACCACCGAAAATAAATCATGCACTCTCTAAACAAAAATTCCTAAACAATTCTAATTTAATTTCCAATAGTTTGCTGCCTGACGTTCACAGCACAACTGATATACCACAGCTGCTGACTATACACAACCATTTTAACATCGTTACTAACTGCATATGCGTAGCATGATTTCACAAGCATGTACATACACTGATGTATCACTGCTTGAGAGAATTACACTCATCAACATTGCCGTACGTGTACGTATACGTTACGTAATAAAAAAATGTAAGTATACAATCATTATGGCATATAAACAAATAATTATATACGTAAAGAATAATGTTTAAAATCGAGAATATTAATCTAGTTATAAATTCAATATAAATACGAATTCCTGCCACTGAATTGTTGGTCTATCAAATAGTGTATTTATAGGAATAACGTTGGCTGCAATAGTCGATCCGAATTTCCCTTATCAAGATGAACCTATACAAACAGTAATGTGACTGATAAAGGTTAGAGAATACATACGCGTATCTAAACAAGCTCGTTTATTGTGCCGAAATTCCTTACTGGATTTTTTCCCTGTAGGATTGAATCTCCTCATTAAAAGATTCGTGACACAATTATGAGGGAGATGAATCTTCCTAGTAGACCAGTCGAATTACGGACTATGAGAAGAATTGCCGCGAGGAATACTCGGACCTCAAACACTGTAAAGAAGCTGAAGTCAAGTACTAGTGGTAGAAAAAGTATAAATAGAAATTTTATAAATTGAAAACTGAATAGAATCAGTACAAAATAAACATTTTTAATAATATTGCGAAATATCAAATATCGATGGAAGTATTTGTATTTTTAAATTTTGCTGCAAGAGGACAACACTTGTCGGAAAGAGGCAAGTTTGTTTCGACAAAAATCAGTTGCACAGAAATATTGAAAATTCCAAACATGGAATAAAGCTTTCCAAGTACTACTAAATATTATTGGATCTTGACTTACTTTCAAAATTTATTCAAAATATAAAGGTTACATCAAAATCCCGCAGAATATACGGAGTAGATAAAAATTGAATGGAAATTATAGAATATCGAAAATAATTTACGTTCAAATTGAAATATTAATAAATTAGGTGTTTGGAACATTAGAATAATTAATTAAATCAATAAAGTAAAATATTAACACTTAGAAATCGGAAATTCTGGCCAAGCATATTTCGAAGTACTGGAAGTTGCCCAAAATTGTGTGCGCGCAAATTTGTCGCGCAGGGCTCGGTGACTGCGAGCAGGCGGATGGTGGGGGGAACGCTCGAGCAGGACTCGGAGCGCTCATTCT